ATGGAATAATAATGCAACACAAAATGTACTTAGAACAAAATGTATTGAACAAGAAAAATACACAATATTTACATATAGTCTTTTGTATATTCCTGGTAAGACCGTTCCTGGAGAATGTGTTGACTGAGTCGCAGTCGGGCAGAGTCTCTGGTTGAATCTCTTGATTCCTCCCTCTCTTCCCGGTACCAACCATATTTATATGGTCGGTACTCCACTATGCAAATTAGGTGGATCCTACCACAACACTATACGTACCGGATATTGACGTCTCTGGTTCATAGCCCGCCCCGTAGGCTCTTCCTATATATTCAGTCTTCTAAAGGGAGAATATATGGCTTCATTCAGTTTCCCAACAGACTCATCTGAAATTGATACCCAGCTCACCGATTAACAATTCCGAGCCGTTATCAGTTGCACCACCTACACATCCAAGTTTACTGTACATGGCATTCCCAAGCTGTTTCCCATCTAGGTACTGACCAGGCTCAACGTTGCTTAACTTCGGTAGGCTGAGATGAAGAGCTGGAGACACAGCGATAATAACAACAAAGATGAGGATATTAGATAATAAAGTAAACAACATTTTCATCTCTAATCCTATGTTTCTTTTTTCCAAATTATCAGGTCATCCCATAAGTTCTGTCCGAATTTTGAATAAAGAAAACAAGTGACCAAATGTTACATTTAATTACATATTCAATCAACAATGTATTTTCCCTGATTATCTATGACTTCCTTCCATCTATGAACAAGTTTACTAATTCCATTTGTGTAAAATTCTTTTGGCTTTGATTCGAAGAACTCTCAAATTTCAGTTTTAACCTCTTCCTGTGTTACAAAAGCTGTTTCTTCCAAATGATTCTGTAAGCTACGAAACAAATGGTAGTCTGAAGGAGCAAGATCGAGAGAATAAGGTAGATGAGGAATTTTCTCCCAACCAAGTTCTTCGATCATTTGTGACGTGATTCTTGCTGTGTGGGGTCGCGCATTGTCCTGATGAAACATCAACTCTTTTCGATTCACGAGAGCAGGTCTTTTTTTCCTCAAATCTTGGTTCAAACGCTCTAATTGCTGACAGTATATTTGAGCATTAATTGTTGCATTAGGTGGTAAGAATTCAAAGTGGATTATTCCTTGGCGATCGCACCAGATTGAAAGAAGAACCTTTTGCCCATGAAGTTCCCTTCTCGGCTGTGGCTGAGGTCCTTCCCCTTTACCAAGCCACTGTCTACAACGCTTAACATTTCGATAAAAGATCCATTTTTCGTCACCAGTCACAAGTCTATCAAAAAAGGTGAAACAAGTTGGAGAGAATGGAGAGAAGAGCATATGTCAACTCAGGATTTGAGGTTGTTTTTAGACAATTTATGAAGTACCCATTTTCCAAGTTTAGAAACTTTTCCAAGTTGTTGAAGATGACGATGAACAGTTGTATGGTTTGAACTGAGAACCACTGCCAATTCCTCAACTGATAAAGTAATATTTTCTTCAAGGGCTGCTGCAAGAAGCTTTTCATCAAACTCAACTGGACGTCCGATTTGATCTTCATCTTCAAGGGTGAAATCTCCACCTCTGAATTTTGCAAACCATCTTCTGCAAGTTATTTCATTCACACATTCCTCTCCATAAACTGAGTGAATGTTTCTAGCCGCTTCGGCTGCTGAGTTTCCTTTCTTGAACTCATAAAGCATTATGTGCCTCAAATGATTCTTGGGTACTTCCATGTTAGCAGGGTTTTAATCAAGCAAAATTTAATTTTATTGTTCTCTGAAATAAAATTTGATAAGTTAAAATGCATCTAAACATAAAAATAATGTTCAGCTCCATTAGACATTATAAAATACTCTTTAAATTTCGTTCATTTTAACAAAAAGTTAAAACTCGGACAGAACTTATGGGATGACCTGATACGTAATTCTTATATGCTTCCGAATGGCACCGGAATTTACATCTTTTGATAGAATCGAATAAAAAGTAGCGTGTCTATTCCCTTTTAAAGGAAAATACAACAGTGGTCAGTTACTTTCATTTGCAATGTGGTTGTAGCCTGGACAGTGAAGTTGATGGTCAGTCGAAATTGATGACTTGACGCTGATAATGGTCATTAAGTAAATTGCAGTGAAGAATTCTGGCCAGATATTAAATTAGAAAGGCGGGTCATTTTCGGTAATTCTCGGACTTTGAATTTTGGAAGCGTGGTTTCTAAATACATGGCATGTTAATGCTGTGGCCTGTTGGTCTCTGTGGAATGCTGTTGACTGTAGAGCGTTTGATTTATATACATGATTAGCTAAATACAGGTACGTGCACGGGTACGTATATTGAAGGTAGTTTTACACAATTGGGACTGTTGGCTGCTTTGTCCGAAAAGTGAAAGTGAAATCGAAAGTAGTCGAAAGTGAAAGTTGAATAAGGAAATGTACCTGAAAGCATTCCATTGGATGGAATAAAACAGAGAAGAAACGATAAGGAACCAATAGAGGAGGGTTAAGAATTGATTAGGTAAAGCTTTTTGCTACAAAAAGGAGAGTAAAGACATCAAGCGTAGAAGGACTGCAAAATATGTAAAAAGGTATATACCAAATAGGACAATGTAATTAAGAAATTTCATAAGGAAATGAGATAGAGGCGTTAAATATAGTTGCGAGAAAGAGGTAGTGAGAAAGTAAAAGAGCTATTATATATACATATCTATCTATCTATCTATCTATCTATCTATCTATCTATCTATCTATCTACATATATACAGGGTGTCCATAGAGTTCGTGTTCACTTTTAAAAATGTATAACTTTATTTGTATTTGCGATAGAAATAATCTGTAAAAAATGTTATAAAGTTTAATGTACCTAGTTTTAAATATAACTAATGTGATTTCAGGCATTACTGTAAATCAGTTGGCAAATGTTTTCTGTGAACTGCAAAATCGTATTACCCTTTGTATTGCTAATGATGGAGGACATGTGGAAATTTAAATAAAATTTCAATAAAACCTTAAAAAATATAGATTTGCTTCTTTCTAATTCTTTTTTACAAATTATTTCTATCACAAATAAAGTTATAAATTTTTCCAGGTGCACACGATCTTTATGGAACCCTGTATATATATATAATTGTGTATTTAGGCAACAATCCTTCACTTATGCACGTTTCATTAAAAACGACAGACAAGGTACTACGATTAAGCTTTTTATTTTTTTTTATTTTTTCTTTTGATCGAACAATTGTTTTCGTTTTTGGACACAGAGTGTGTAGAAAGTGTCCAAATATTCTATAATTCCGAGTGCTTTCGGCTGTACTTTTAGCCATTATCAAGGAGGATTTTATTTTTTTCAGTTTAATTGGGTGTGTGCATTGTGTGTATTTTAAACGTCATAAGAGATGTTTTATTTTTCAAGCACAGTTAGGACGTTACAGCCGTGTTCGTAGTTAATATTATTAAGTATTGGCTTTTTTTTTGTTTTTATTATTAAGGCTTCCATAGTTTTTAATTTTTTTTACATGTAAATGAGGTTATTACGCTGGTATTTTCTACTAGTACGTTTCGGGTGGAGTCTTGTAAGTCTGTGTGAGTTTTAAATGGGTTCTAATAGAGTTGTGGTCAGATAGGTGTAACGTAAGGTGTTTATTATAATGTCTTATTATAAAATTAACATTAATATATATATATATATATATATATATATATATATATATATATACCGTGTATATTTAGGCAGCAATTTTTCATTAATGCATATTTCATTAAATAATACAGATAAGTTGTGTCTATCTATTTTAAGTAAGTTCCTTTCATGTTGTCTGATAAGCTTAATAACATTATCATTGAAAGACGAGAGGAAATCACCATATAGATACATGTTTAAATCCAATCTAATCTTTCGGCTTACATAAGCCATTATCAAAGATGAAAATGACTTTTCAATATATCAACCAATGCACGTATGAAACAATAATGATAGTTTGTTTATGTTGCATGAAAAATTTCAAAGCAACGTGTATACGAGACGCGGAAGAAATCGCGTCGCAGCTAGTGACGTCACACATGACCACGCGAGAGTGCAAAATGAGAAGTATTAAGTATGGGAACCGTTGGTATATACCATTGGCTTCAGTTATCGATTATAGACATTTAAGAATATTTGTGGATATTACGTTGTTTATTTTGTTCAGGTTAGGTTTCAACTGTTTTATGTATATACCATCAGGAATTTTGAGTTTTTGTTTATTGTTTTCATGTTTAAGTATAGTTGTGTTTTCAACAAGAATTTTCCGGAATTGTGTTCGCGGTCAGGCATGTTGTTTTAAATGCCTAAAAATGTAAGGAACTTACTTAAAATAAATAGACAAAAAAACAAACTTGTCTACATTTTTAAAGAAACATGCATTAATATATATATACATATATATGTGTGCGTCTATGTATGTGCGTGTGTGTATGTGCGTGTGTATGTATATGAGTTCCCATAAAAACTATCGTGCAAATAGTATTTAAAATAATATATTTATATAGATATAGATATATGGATATATGTGTAAGATTAAAGATCCAAATAGTGTTCAATACAGAACTAGTGCTTAATTTATAGTTATTTTTTTAAAAAATATGATTCCATCGCAACACACAGATTACTATGTTTCGAAACTTGACTCAAGTCCTAAAGTTTAATTTAATATTAAACTTAAAATTTCCTAAAACATCGCATGAGAATGAAACTGTACCACAAATTTTAAGTTTAATATTGAAATTAAACTTTAGAACTTCAGTCGCGATGAAATCACATTTTAAAAGTAATCAATATATATATATATATATATATATATATATATATATATATATATATATATATATATATATAATTTATTTTATAATTATATTTATAATAACAAAAATACTAAAGAACTTTGGATTATTTACCTAACGAGTTATTTCCTATTTTTTATATATTTTTACACACACACACACACACACACACACACACACACACACACACACACACAC